GTCATGTGCTCAAGAGCATCTCATGCGGCCTGGTAATGTTGATTCAGTAAGTGCCCTTATACGCCTTGTCTCTGAATCCTCTTGTATAACTTTTTCTTTCCGCTCTTTATTCTTTCATTCAGCCAACAATGCGTTGATGATACGCTTAAGAAGAGCCCGATTCTGTGCTCTGTTCTGCTACGTCCATTCCAAGCAACGGTTACAAGATTCCAAAGCGTTGGTTTCTTTGCTCCTCGATCTTTACTTCTAATAAAGTCACAATTAATTTACAACTTTTATCGCTTACATGCGTGTGGATAAAAGCATCCCGAGACACAAAGACACTAGCAACGAAAGGGACACTCTCGTGCCATGATTAATGTGACTAAATATGCAATAAAAAATTTCAACCCTGCAAGGAGATGATTTCAAAGTGTCTATTTCGTCTGAACCCAGAGAACCCTAATTGCAAGTCTCATATCCTCGCTAAAAATTTCCAAAGGTACTTTGCGAGGTCTCGCGGAACTGCATTTCACACAAGCTTCCACTGCAAACGTGCAATGTAGATGTTGCATGCGTGAGGAATTTGCGACATCGCAGACTTCCTGTCATACTTTACTTTTAAACGGAAAACTACTCACCGGAAATTCTTTAAAACTACCGTGATTTTTCTTCCCTGCGCGAAAAAAATTCTGCAAAAACTTCAAGGAATGATGCCAATTTGTTCTCCTTTAAAAACATAACACAGAGGCGGAGATTTTCAGACACCGCGAACGAGTTATGTCGTCGCCTTCCTGACATAAGGGCGTAACTACAATCTGCGATGAACCCTGGGCTCCATACAATTCGATGCTTTTCCAGGCTCATCTCAATGTGTAGTTGCGCCCTTATGTCAGCAAAGCGACGATGTGATTGCCGACTCACACCGTCGATATTATTTTTTTCTGTGCGGACCATAGAGTACATAGAGTCGTAATGTAATTGGGAGAGCTGGCGCCACTTTTAAGCATTTTCCATGTCCCGAATTCCGAGACTCCTGTGTTACGTCGGGTCACTTTTTCGATACATAATCGATTGTTTGCGATACACGGGTACCCGGCCATCCGATGACAACAACAACAACAACAAAGGAGATAGGACTTACCACGTATTCCACACCGCCATTTTGGATCGAAAATGTATCGAAAAAGCGACCCGAACTCGGCGCACACCGGGCTCGGAATTCGTCGAGCAGAACATGGCGCCAGCTCTCTCATTTACATTACGACTCTATGTACTCTATGGTGCGGACAAGAATCGAGTTTTTAGTAGAGGATTAAACGGAGTGGCCCCGTTGTTGCCAACCCGGTGGATCCGCCTCGATTGGAGAGGAGGGGGAGGGGGAGGAGGAGGCGGAATGAAATCCAATTACGAGGGAAATAGATGTCACCGAATCCGACCGCGATCCCGGCGCAGCTTTCAAAGGCTCACCCTCGTCCTCGTTAAATGCCCACTGTGCAAGAGTGGATTGTTGATCGTCGAGTGTTATGAGCACCGCTCCCGCCACCGCGTCAATGCCCTCGCGGTCCCGCCCGCCACAATACGTTTCAGTTATTAAATCCGTAAAAATTTTATCGAAAAACAATAGCGCATCGACGCGACGACGCCCTCAGTTGCCATGTCGAACGCCGCGCCGCCTTCCTGTGAATCGAGTCCATGCCTCCATGGGTGAGGTCGGACAAACTTTGGAAACTTTAAAAGCTTATAACTCCGTTTAAACAAAATTTGGGGGTTCGGAAAGTGGTTTCAATGGTTTTCTTGTGGAGTTTCCCTTCAGAAGCACCCCTTAAATTTCAAAATGTGACGAATGAAACATCAAAATTTATGGTTTTAGTCAAAAATTTCATGTCCGACCTCTCTAATTGTTTCGATCCACTTTGCGCCCCTTCAATCCAACCTGCATAGCAATAATCCACAAGAGCACCTTTCTATGGAGAATACGGACATGTCGGTAATTTTGAGGTTAGGTCATGGAGCTTGTAGGGCCCTAAAGAGCAGCCGACCTATGAATTCAGTTTATTCAGAGTGATTTATTATTACAATTTGTACGACCCGTAGTTTGCAAAGCACGTATTTGACTTAGTTTTTGCATCAATTTACTCGTTTTTGCGGTCTCATGAAACTTTCTTTTGCAATAACTTGTCTTTTTGATACCCAACTTCCTCCCCACACTAAAAACTCGAAAGAGGGTTACATTTTTATGGCCTCTATGAATTGACGAGGCTAGCTATTAAATTCGAATATCATTGGAAAAATAAGAATTTGAAAACTAAATCAAGAAATGTGAGATTTTGAGGACAAAATAGTTACAAAGAAATACTGTAAAAATATACGTGAAAAAATTAATATCGAGGACAAAAAAAGGTAATCCACAAATGTTAGTGAAGGCAACATGAGCCTCCATCCCCATGTAGTCGAAAAGCGGTATCACTGTAAAAGTATTCGGAACACGTAAAAAATATCTTTACACCGAGCGTGGGAAGGTGATTCTGACGCATTGACAGTTCGCCTAGAATTTTCGATGTGGGCAACATGAGCTCCCTCGTGCTCGAATAGTGGTATCATCGTGAAATGGCACGTTTACTCGGAATATACACAAAAAAAATAGCTTTTTACCGTACGAAAAGAGGTGACGTAAACGCCATGTCAGTTTGCCTTCAACTGTTAGTGTAGGCAACATGGGCTCCCACGTGGTCGAATAGTGGCATCACCATAGACGTGTGTTCTTTACAATCCTTGAAGCACGATGACTTTTAAAAATCGCAATAGTAAGGAAAGCTGGGCTGGAAAGTGAATTTTTCAGAACTCTTACATACGTATTCAAACAGAGATCTGGGACTGTAATTTTGAGTGTGTGGACGCTGCGCACCGCACTGCACGATGTTATCATACTCAAATCACAAAACTACCTATATTTACTAGTTTAGAGACCAAATTTGCACATTTTTCTAAGAAATATTTTTGACTAAAACTTCCATTATAGCAAGATTGGTAATAGGGGGAGCAGGTGATAAACGTCAAAGGTTTAGCAGCAGTCCCCTCTCCCCCTCTTACACTAAAAACCGTCGTAATTTTTTTTTTAAAATCCTTAGAGTCTGCATGATACCCAATTGGCCGTTCCCTCCCTATTAATAAGGTACTCTAGCTCAGAATTTTTTTCGGAATATTAAAATTAAATGTGACAACTCTGCTAGAGGCCACGTTGCCAGGGACAGTCTCTTCCGTTCCATTTACTCCGTTTGAAAGCGTGACGATGAGCGAAAGGGGTGCATGAGAAAAAAACCTCCCCCATTGTGTATTATTGTGGATTGTCGATTGCCCGGGTACTCATTGGGCATCTGGTTTGACACTGAAATTACTCGTTCATTCGTTGACCACCCCATTGCTCCCGCTATCATTCTTTGGTGCACCCCTTGTCCTCCCAGTTGATCCGATGACTAATTAATTCCGAACTTTGAATAATTTGATTTGCAAAATGTTAAATGGAAAGAACTACCATTGGCCCCAGCAAAAAAGTTAAAATTCTATGTTCGTCTCCATTTTGCTTTTTTAGTTTTTTCCCCCGAATGAAAGAAATTATATGTTGGCAAGTGGCATTAAACCTCACTAACCTGAATTGTTTAAGATCATCAACGTACAAAATCGCACCTTGGGGATCGCGCTATTTCACAGAATGTAGTCCAATTAGTATGATATAAGTACGGCAGAGAAAAATCACTCAAAATTTCTACCAATGACGAAGGTGATGATCAATGGTTTTCTTTAAGAAATTATTTATGTATTTTTTAATTATTTATTATAATTATTATTTATCTAATTATTTTATTAATTACTAATTATTTATCCATAAATTACGTAACCCTCTACGTATCTCTTGCGGCGGGTCTGAGTATTTCATTTTCTTTCAATATCCCAGAAAATAACGCAAATAACCTACTTTGTGTCTCAGAGTAACGAACGGACACGGAAAGAGCTTGCTGCTGAGTTCTCTGTTGCACCAACTGACAACCAAGCGTTATAAAAAAAACTTGATTTGACTCCCACGTGCCGCAGCGCTGGCGAGGGAAAGCAGTGCTTTAAGGAAAAACAAGAGGAGTTAATTTCTATTTTAATAAGGCTTGTTTTACTCTGGGTCCGATACGAATCCGTATCTCCAATTCCAAATGGCCTTGATCATCGACAAGCCTGTATTATTCTTGTGTGTCTGGCCCGCGAGGGAACATCTCTGATCTCAAACTGGTATCGTATCATCTTTCCTCTTTGTTGGAATCGTATGCAGTTGTACATTCGTGATCACGGTCGCGTGACCTCTCTAAAAATTTGGTGCCCCCTTTTTCAAAGTTACAATTTATTTAATGTAAGTGTTTTATAATCATTTTGTGCGTAAGTGCTTAGAAAATTCTGAAAGTGGTCCATTTTGCTTACCATGCTGTTTGGACGGAAGGGCATTGTTTGTAAAAATATTTTGCCGAACAGCAAAACTGTACAGTAAAATAAAATTAGAATACATTTTGATGGACTAAGTAAATGGGTCAGTTGCGCTAGTCATTTAATTGTGTTTCGCTAGTGTAAGTTTATAGATTCGCACAAAATAATAAGAGCTGTCCAAACGCCACGTTTCTACGTCACATTTTAACGGATATTTTGAGATCACTTATTGAAGAACACCGCACCAGATGTCATCCGGTCGGTTATGCATACCATGGTTTCTTCGAATTTGGTTTCATTATCAAGAGATACAAACACACATTTGCAATTGTTGCTCGACTTAAAAAAAAAACGGATGAAACCAAGGTTGAGGAAACCATGCGCAGACTACTGCGATGGATGACGTCAGTTTAGACCGTTGTTTATACCAAAAGTAGAACTTTGGGATTTACAAATATCTTACTATCTTTTGCTAAACCATATACTTAAACCCTCAGAACACGATTCTGTGACCAGTCCAATTGACCCGTAACGAGGCGACACGAGGCGTATATGAAAACAATGGATGTGATCTGTTAAATAACGTTGCCTGATTTTACCAGATTTTCTCTGAATTAGATAAAAACCGTGAGACGTGATAAAGCACCGCAGCAATGAGAAAGATACAAAGCTGAGTTTCTCAATGTGAAGCCTACGAACAATGAATGCACCGTGTTGCTGACGCTGTAATAGATAAGTCGCTAAGGATAATCATTGGTACAGCAAACGTGATAAGAATGTAAATAAACATGTGATAATGACATGACGTGTATGTAATGTGATTGGATAGTTCATCGTTTTTATACTCAGAACTGTGTTAAACTAGTAACGATGTCGCAGTAACAACTGTGCCGCGAAAGGAGTAAGTGGTTTTCTTCTACTTCTAAGCATTCTTACTCATAATATTAATAATTTAATATAACATGAACATAAACTATATAGTGGATTACCGAAGTAGCACAGATTGCAAGTAATTGCAATTACATGGAAAAATCATTGCTATAGTACCGGAGTGTTGTGCATGTTGTCTTTTCACTGATTGAAGGGGCTCTTATTGAATATAGTTGAAGCCAACTTTAAATTAGTTGCATTTTTTTTTTTTTTTTTTCATTGCAAATTGCCTATCTTTCTTAAACATGGAACGCATTTGATTGATTGGTTAAAATCATCATTTATCGACCAAACCATTTAAGAATATTGCAATTTTATTGAATTGAATCCAAAATTATTTCAATTTTTTCGTCGCACTGTGCTACTCCGGTATTTTCGTTCTGATGCAGTTATTAAAGTGTCAGTTCAGACTGAGATGATGAATATAATCTGGCACGCAAAATAAACCCACGGTGCCACTTTGTTTTGAATACTCTCAATCGTAGATGCACATTTCGTTTAACACAAAAGCAAACTGCAAATGCGATTTAATATTCTTAAAAAGAGTTAAAGTTATAAATAAATGTTCATTAAATTGAATATTACTAACTGCCGACGCATTAAGATGGAGCAGCTTTCGTATTTTTGATGGAATTCGTAGCGCTTTGCACGTCTAAAGACTTATCAATGTGGTTCAATCAAGAGAATGCTCGCCTAAGAGGTCCTTTGCTTCTCAAGCAATAATTTAATAAAGCCTTTTCATGAATGAGTTTTGATAGCATACGACTTCAATAGAATATGTATATGAGGTTTATGAACCTGAGTCATACCCGTGAGTGCTGTATCATATCGATGACCTAAGTGCAATACCACGTATTCTTCGTTTGCGAAATTGCAGATTTTCAGTTATTTTTTATTTTTTCTTTGAAAACCTTTTCGACGTAATTTCTCATCAACAAATTACAATAGGAGCGAAAATTTTGATAGCCACAATGGATGCATGTGGCTTCGCACTTCGGCCATCGATATCCAAAACACCAAATCTATTCCCAGTTGCCGCTCTGCGGTCAAACCTTCGAGTTGAAAGGAATTGTATAAGACAATTGTATAATACAATACCATATTTTTTTTACAATCAGGATTGAATCCAGAGTAAAAAGAAAATATGGTAAAGTGACTTCTTAAAAATATGTAACATACACCAAAATTCGAGCTGTGGCTATATCTGAATCCAAACATTTTTTTATACCTAATTTTCAAATTGATTTATATGTGCCATTTCATTATTTTCTGATAATCATATTTATTCCTTTCTTTCTTCTTTCAGAAAACAAAAATTCTCGACCGATTACTGTTTCGAGCAAAAAACTTGCAACGGATTCATCAGGGCTGTCGCGTGAACTTCCAGAAAGGAGCATACTGAAGTTTGATAACTCGTAAGCATGCAGTAAGTTATTTTCTATTGGCTCATTGATCCAGTCACAAAGCAAGCAAAATTAAGATTGCTGATTGCTAGAATCTAACGGCATACCTCAATATTTTTATATACTTTCTGTCTCAAACAGTGAACAAAAAGTATACAATGTCCAAAATCTTATGCTGACAGGAGGAAAATATCTGCTCTCTCCGCTTCCTTACATATTGATAGCATTGATATCATAATAACAAGAATGCCTCTATTAACATCCGCGTTATACAGACGCCCTGAATCCGAGGTAAATCCTTTCCCATCAAGACGGTCAGTGGTCCATTCCGCTAAAGGAATCATCGCGAGCTCCCAACCATTAGCCACAGCATGTGGGTTGGAGATACTCAGCAAAGGCGGGAACTGCGCAGACGCCGCAGTTGCTGTAGCTGCTGGTCTGAGTCTGACCGAGCCTGGAAACACCGGTCTCGGAGGTGATATGTTTTGCCTCTTCTACGATGCAAAGACCAAAAAAGTTCACTCACTGAACGGAAGTGGCCGAGCCGGAGCCTTGTGTACCCTCGAGGCTGTGCGGGAAGAACTGGGGCTCTTGGATGGCCAGGAAGGGAAAATTCCTCTTCATTCTGTCCACGCTATTACAGTTCCAGGGACAGCTGCTGGATGGGTCGATACCGTAGAACTATTCGGGAGTGGCAAAGTAAGTTTAGAGGAAATTCTAGAACCAGCTATTAAGCTTGCCGAAGAAGGGTTCCCCGTTAGTGAACTAGCAGCATTCTCTTGGAAGGAGAGCGAGGACAAACTCCGTCAAGCCTCACCCAACAGCAGTGAGATGCTGAAGAAAGACCCCTCCGCAAAAGATGGCTTCCGAGCGCCAGAAGCCGGGGAAATCATGAAAAACCCAACTTTAGCGAATACGTTTCGGCTACTCGCAAAGCACAAGAAAGCTGGCTTTTATACGGGGCCTGTGGCAGAGGCACTGGTGAAAGTTGTTCAAGATCTAGGCGGTTATCTCACACTCGATGATCTCAAGCACCATATGGAAACGGGAACAGAAAAGACGGAGCCCATTAAGTTCAACTTTAAGGCCCACGATGTTGCTGAGACTCATGGGCAGCATATGTCAGACGGATCCAGGGATGGGGTCGACGTGTGGGAACATCCACCAAATGGTCAGGGTATCGTTGCTCTGATTGCCTTGGGAATAATCGAAGAACTACAAAGGTCCGGTAGAATTTCAAAATTCTCCGCCGAAGAACACAACTCTGTCCGGTATCTTCACGTTGTCATCGAGGCGCTTCGCATTGCCTTCTCCGACGCCAATTGGTGGGTGTCCGATCCGATTTTCTCTCAAATGCCGGCAAAAGCCCTTCTCGATCCCAAGTACATTGCTGAGAGGGCGGCAACTTTCTCTCCTGAAAAAGCCGCGGATATTTGTCTCCACGGGTTACCGGTTCACAGCTCCAGCGATACCGTATATTTCGCCGTCACGGACAGTGAAGGCAATGGTATAAGCTTCATCAACAGTAACTATCACTACTTCGGCACAGGGATTATCCCGAAAGGCTGTGGGTTCCCGCTGCAAAACAGAGGTGCCAATTTCGTGTTGCAACCATCGAACCATCCGAACATCCTGGCACCGAGGAAACGACCGTACCATACGATTATCCCGGCTCTCGTGACGAACGCGAGTGACCAGAGCCTGCACTCTGTCTACGGTGTCAAGGGTGGGTTTATGCAGCCGCAAGGCCATGTTCAAGTGCTGTTGAATCAACTTGTTTTCCGGTTGGACCCACAAGCCGCACTCGACTCTCCCCGTTTTTGCATCGGACCCGGTAAGACGAATAAGAGCAATGAATATGGGGACATGATTTACCTGGAGGATGGGATCTCTGCGGAGGCTGTCGAAGGTCTGAAGCGACTCGGCCACAAGGTGGAATTATTGAAGGGCAGATCAAGAGAGATGTTCGGCACGGGTCAAGTCATTCGATTTCATGTAGATGTGGTGGACGGTCAAGGTGTTTGGAGCGCGGGTAGTGATCAAAGAGGCGATGGTGCTGCCGTGCCAGTAATATAATATGTGATGGGGAAAACATAAAAAAAGTAAATAAGAAGGTAACTGAATAGCGGAAGAAAATACATTTTATCCGGCTCAAAATCATCCATATGCAAGAAGGTATCTATCAGAGGGTTTTTTTTTGGGAATTCAATGAAATCAAAGTTGATAAAATTTGAGAACAAGATATCAATGTCTGCACAACGTAACAAAAAAAGTAAACAAATTGTTAATACAAAGTAAGTGCAAAAAAAAAAATAAAAAAAAAAAAATGAAATATAATCGAAATTTGACTTTTATTTTATTTATATTGGTGATTGCTTTTAATAACTTTGATGCTTCAGTCTCATCATAGATCAATGGTTAAAGTGTGACACTGCGTACATCAATTGCGATGTTTCAAAATCTTCACTCCTGGTTATTATTACTATTTCAAAGAGGAACATGTCAACTTTACAACTTAAAATGTATTCAGAGTATTCTACTGACAGATAGGAAGAATCAAGAATTTTTGGAAGAAATTACGTTTTCTAGGTTCCCAAGAAAAAAATAAATTACATGACTGGATGTCTATAACGTCGCAAACAAAGTTACATGGTCTCGCATTTTAGCCACCAATGAATTCCCTTATCATTTTAAAACTATAGTTTAACGACTGGCTTAAATGCGCGTAATTCAAATGCACTTGAACTTAACTTTGTGGTTTGGAGGGAAAAGCATTCAGAGTTTTTAGACCCTTAATATTTAATTTTTAAATTTAATTTTTTAAATTATTTTTTTTTTATTTTTCTAGTATTATTGAGCGTATCCATAATACCCTGGGAATAGAGTAATATTTAGAAACCCACATATGAAATTCCGCTGATTTTTTCACCGAGTTTACAATTAGACTTACTTCATTTTGCACTGGGTATTTTTCTCATGTTCATGCATGCCTACTTCCAATCATTCCACCTTATTTAGGCCAAGTTTAACAGGAACGTACCAAGTCTCGGGCTGGATAAAAAAATCAGTTAGTAGTAGATTTAAATTCTGCTATTCATGAATTGTCTCTTGTTAAAAATTCAACGTCGAGAAAAAATATTTTGGATATGAAGCTAATTGTTAGAGTTAGTCCCTAATCGTTGGGACGAAAATCAAATCCAAAAATCCGAAAAAAAATCCCGGAATTTGTCCATTTTCCTATCTGAATCCATAAATTACGCCCAAACCACTGGAGTAGCGTCAAGTGTCACTAGAATATTGTAAAGAGCAAAATTTCAGCCTGGAAAACTATTTTTTGTATCATATACTCACAGTGGACTCCAGAAAATTTCATCAGAAAAAAATTGATTATTCGCGATAAGCGCGGATCTCATGAGAATGACCAGTTTTTCTCTTGAACCAAAACTGAGACACTCGCTGGAGAAAAAGTCGCTTGGATCTAGAGTCCAGACTCTTAGAAACATTGACAAGAAAAAATATTCTTGATTCAATCCGACTTTTTCTTGAATTGAAGAGCCAAGCTTCTTGATTTAGGCGGATTTCCTTTTAATTCAAGCAAAGAGTCGGATTGAATGTAGAGTATTTTTTCTTGGCAATGTTTATAAGAGTCTGAACTCTAGATCCAGGCGAATTTTTCTTTCCAGTGCTGCCCGCTCCATTCAGTTTTCTTGCGGGCAGCGCTAGTGGTCGTCCACCGTCCCATTGTCCCATTATTTTGTCGATTGTTGCTGAAAATCGCTTATGCGTTGCGTCGCCTTGTCACAATCAAGGCTTAAACACACCAAACAGGAAAGGGCTGTGCGGAGGGGAGAGTGAGGCCTGCATTTGACAGGTTCTGTCTAATGCGGTTGAGGGAGATGCCTGTCTGTGGCCGCGGCTCCAAGTTTCCAATAAAATCCCGCAACTCCTTAGTTCAGCCATGGACTTTTTGCCGGCCCGACATGTGTCCCGATAAACAGGGTGGCATGAAACGTAAGAAAGAAATGAAAAATTGGAAATTTCAGTGAAATATTTCATGAAATTCCACGAGGTTGTGAAATATTTCATATTTTTCAGGGGCCAGAGCATGCAACCCGCACTCAAACACCCGAAAATAGAAGAAATTCACGATTTTTACATTTTGCGGAACAGTAAAAGGAACTTGTATTTTTCAATATCTTTCATACATTTCTGAAATTTCATGGAATATTTCACGTGAAATTTCAAGATTTTAATTTTCATGAAAATTTGCCACCATACCGATAAATACTGCGGTATTTCGTTTCTGATAAGAACCGCAAATGTTACGATGAAAAACTTTTTTTTACCTTTTTTTATTTTATTTTACTTTATGTTCGTTAATGTAAACTATTTGCTAAGCAATCGTAGATTTTTGTGATTTTTTTCCTTGAATGACCTAATATTCTCTTGATGAAAGAAATGCGAGGGAAACAAGAGGAAAACGTGAAAAGCGAGGAAATTCTTACGTATTTTACACCAAATACTGCGCGTATAGCACAAGCCAAAAAATTAGAAGTAAGATGCAGAGCGTGTTCTTGCTCATATCGACGGTGAAACTGCAGAAATGCGAGTTCCTCGGTTTGCGGCGTTACAAACTTCCTGTCATACTTCATTTTCTATACGAAAAACGACTGAAATTCTTCTATTGAAAATTCCAGTGACTATTTTCCTCTAAATGAAGAATATTCTAGGAAAATTTCAAGTTATGATGTTGGTTCAGTTTTCTTTTGAAAAATAAAATAGGAGCAGAGATTTTGAAACACCGCAATCAAGATACGCATTTTTGGAGTTTTTTAGTCGGTCCGTTCTTCACTCCAGTATAGTATTCCCGTAGATGTCTGTACGAAACGAAGATGCACTAAAATATTTGGGTCGCAAATAGATATTTTCACGCACATGCATACTCCGAAGTAATACTAGGGAGGGGGGGGAGTGGCATTGCGTCGCGTAGCAGCCAGGGGGCGGATCACGCAGGGAAGTCTACTTTCTGTGTCTGAAATCTTGCCCACTCTTCCCAATTTCGGACAATGAGAGATCCTGATCAAACCCTAATGCAATGAATAAGAAGCAAGCGGACATGGCTCCGTAGCGGCCTTTGTCAAATTTGGCGAGAAGTTTCAAACTTTCATTTCAGTATTGTCGAGGTTTTCGCTCTAAATCCGACATCTGGGTCCACCTAGGCTGACAATCAAACTTTTCTACTCTGGGTCCATTGTTGAAGCCTGAATAGAACGAGAACAATTTGAATGCATGAATGGACGAGTCTCGTGAAACTAGGTTGCTTTGTGCGCGTGCTACTGGTCGATGTTCCGAAATGACCAAAGACATCACGAAAATAAAACTGGAGAACACGAACGCTAGAGCTTTAATTCTACCGTACTAAGGAAGAACGCCGTATGAGCCATCAGGCGTTGCCAACTTTCTTTTCGTAAATTACGAATTCTAGAGACAATTTGTAAATAATTATCTTCTAATTTGTCCAATAATTTTGTTCGCAATTTCATCTGAGGTTCCTGAAAATTTCAGGAGAAAATATGCGTAGTTTCCCTCAAAAATGAACATTTCATCAAAGGAAACTCGGCAACTCTGGAATGTTCAGGCTGCGTTTTTCCTTAGCACGGCAGAATTGTTCGTGCTTCTAGCGGCACTGCCAACGAGGAATCGCATTTCGTTCGAAAGAGACAGACAGACGCGATTTTTGTTTTCATCATAACTCACATTCAGATAATATACGCGCAAAATTTCTCACTGAGAGGGATGATATCAAGACTGGTCAAGAGTAGTATCAAGAGTGGTTGAGCTCTATGAAAAAGCGCCCCACGCGTGGAGCATTGCCGTGCTAAGGAAAAACGCCGTATGAACAATCAAATGTTGCCACATTTTCAGCGATGAGCTATTTGTTTTTGAGGAAGTTATGAGTATTTTTCCCGTGAACTTTCAGATAATTTAGATGAAATTGCAATTCCATGAAAAATTTGAGGAAAAATATTCACAGGGTTCTCGGAAGATTCGTGTTTTAAAGAGTGATATTTGACAACGCCCGAAGGCTCATACGGCGCTCTTCCTTAATAGGGCAGAGTAGCCTTTTGCTGTGGGTGAAGCTATACTCGTTCTAACCTCCAAACTGGAAAATAATATGGGTTTTTGTAAGTTTTTTTTTTTTTTTTTTTTTTTTTTTTTTTTTTTTTTTTTAAAAATTAAGGAATTGACTATGAAATTGTCATCGCCATGGAGAGAACGGATTAGTGCTTATGCCTAAGAAGATAGGTCCAATGGCAGTGGCTAGATTTTGATTAAGTACCAGCTCTCCTCGAATTAGTGACTGGTCTTGTACGGGTGAGGCTGGTACCCTCCCAAAATCTGGTAAAAAACATGCCATTTTCTGTCAACCAACTGTGAGATTCGTATCCAATCAAGCTTTAAAGATATGGTTGAACCAAAGTTCGTTAGAAAATCTACAAAACTGGGCTGTTCTTCCCTGTGAAATTGGATTCATTTTATAGTTAGTGTCATCCTTTGCTCCGTATTTTTTATACATTCCATGCGCATGCGCTTCAACTATCGTATTTTTTGTGAACTTTGTTTGCTATGTACTAAAAAACCCATCAAAGATGACTCACGAATAGTTGGGTATCCCCCCTAGAACACGAGTGGGGCTCTTTTTCTCTTTAATTGTCTTTTGACGTCAAATGCATTCATGCTTGACGCACCGCACTACATGAATAAGTTTTGTAGGTCATCAAAACCCGGCGCCAGCTGGTGACCTATTCCCCACGTTATTTTTTTGTTAATCAATCTGCGGCAACGCAAAAATATCGATTGAATTTACATTGATCCACCACTCGGTGACGCATTTGCGGAAATTCAGAAAATTAAATTAAAACATCATTTTTAGAGAAATTATTGAACGTTGATGTTTCAACTCCCTATCCAAAAATAAAGATAATAATGGTAAAATTTACTCCTCTCAGTGTGAAGCTTTTAGAATGTGAAGTTATTCGGGGAAGAAGGTTTTGCCATCTTCTTTTTTATTCCAATCAGCGAAAGACTGGCATCGGGCAGTGAACAAGGAAGAAGGATAAGGAAGCAGAAGCGGCAGATAGAATGAAGAGATGATCTCAGCTCAGCTTTTCTTTGAAATTATGCTCGACTCTCATATTTAAAACCTCACCCTTACGCCTTACATTCCAACCTCATCCTTGATCACTCTTTCTCTCCTTTTCTTTGCCTCCTCCTTCTTCTTTGGTCTATTTCCCTATAATCGCTACTTTTTCTTTTTTTCTTTATTTTTCTCTCCTTCTTAAAAATTTCAATACGCTGTTGATAGATGTTGAAGATGAGGTTGTTACGCAATATAGTTATTCACGAATCAATTCATTTATTTACACACAAGAATACCAAAAAGAGATATCGTCTACTTTTAGAACAGCTTTGACTCGCATGCTTTGACCTTTTCACTTTTGATTTATTATGAAGCAGAGGAAGAGGTCATTCATTGAGCGTTTTAATTGCACCTGCTCCTTAAGCACTTTTATTAAGGAAAAATAAGAAGTATTATATTTGACAGGGTTTCATCAGGGATACATATTTTTTTCCCATCAATTTAACTGAGAATAATCAATGCAGAGTGTGCAAACATCTCAAAATCATGAGTTAAAACACGCTGACTATGCGAGTATAAATATTAAAGCCAAACAGAGCGGAGCGGCGTGCTGCCAGCGCGAGAGGCTCACTGGCGCCTACAAATCTAAGTGGATACTTCTCGCATTGCACAATGCTTGAAGTATCCACTTAGGTTTGTAGGCGCCAATGCGCGTTTCGCGCTGACCGCTCGCCTGCCGTGCGGCGGCGCCTGAAGCAACTATTTCACAACAGAGGTGTTGCACTCTGTTGCACAGTATAATACAAAATTGAACGTATTAAGAATGACAGGCATCCTCTAAAAGTATTGATCTTTCCTCGCAAAATAAATCAAGGTACTTATCGTACACAGGAAAAATCTAAGAGCCTTTAGATGAGGCAAATATAGAGGTTTATCCGGTTCAGGTATAACAAGGTGGGAATTTCTTGAAAGGTAATTAAGTCCTGTTACATCAAAGAGGTGTAGAGAGTTTTAGTGAATTTTTTCTTATGGAATTGACGCTCCCCCATTTTTACCAAAACTATCAACAATATGTTATTCTCCGTTGGACCAAAGGAAAACAAAACATAGAAAAAACAAGCAAACCCTCATTCTTCCAAGACATTATACATTTTCATTCAAAAACGTTGTGAGCAATTGTCGTTTGTATTTACATGTGGGCCAATTAACTTTGGGTCTCAACTTTCACGTGGACCAAAACTCCCGTGCCGAAAAAACGCGTGAACGTAAATTACTGGAAAAACAGGTGCAGGCGCGGCCAAAAAATCGTTGACGAAACGTCCTATAACCTTTGACAGTTCTGAAAAAAGCTGCATTGTGGACATGTTAATGGATACACGGCACAATCCAGTCATGGCGAAATTCAAGACCAGATTAAAGGTGGCGTTGAAAGAGGAAGAAAAGGAAAAAGAGGAGGGCAAAAATGAAGACTTGGACAAGAGAGGAAGAGGAAAACAGAAAAACCAGGAGGTGTATAAAGTTTGAAATACCGCCGAAGTTGAAGCTTTCATTTTTCCGGGTTCACGGGTTGACTCTTGAGATGACGAGAGTGAAAAATCTTATATTTGAGAAAACTAGGAGCTGCTTTGACGATTTGAGGAGTTCAGTTTCAAGTAAGTATAGAAAGCGCAAAACAAAATGGAGCCTGAAGACTCTGGAGGTTCTCTTGTGTTTTTTTTCTGTATAAATAAACTGATGGAAATTAAAACGGAGTCACTTCCAACCACTTAATCGCAACTTTCTCGAATGTATGATTAGATTAATAAAAAAAAGGGGGGGGGGAGAAAATAATTTCTCATAGAACAGCCAAACTTTTAGTAACATCTCTCGCTGTTATTTTGATATCATTTGTTTTCAAATATTGGACGCAAAGACTTTTGAGATATCTGAGTTTCCATTCCATTTTTTGGATCAATTAAAAGAAAAAAAAGAAGAAAAATCCTCTTGCGAGAGCTTCGTCACAAAAGAGTACCTGATCAACGGCTCTCACACAGGAGTATTTCCAGATCTTTTCATATTTCCTCATTTTTTACTATTCATGGTTCCCTCAAAGTTCACTCTTATAGTACAGCATAAGTAAAGACTTTTTTAGTAGTAAGTAATTTTGTTGGTACATATCATCTACTTGAATTTTGCCTTCAAACTAAGCGCAGAGGCAATAAATCTACGCAGGAGCACGAATTCGAGGAGCTTACATTTATCTCTCGCCCCCCCCCCCTTCGTCCTCCAGAAGAAACTGCAGAGCCACCAGCAATTGCGTAAACTAATAAGTTTACGCCAATAGCAGATGTTCACGATGTTCTCTACTCAGGGTTCGCCTTCAATTTAGCCACATAGGCAAGAAACACACCGAAGAGTGTGAATAGTTGTCTATTCGAAAAATGCACATTTAGCGCGCTCGACAAACATTGATGGGAAGAGGAACTGCTGTAGGTAGATATCTTCAACTGAAGGTTCTCCTTCAATTTCGCTACATAGGCAATAAACATACCGGAGAGCGCGAATAGTGGTCTATTCGAAAAACACACATCGATTACAAACATTGATGGGAGGAGGAACTGCTGTAGGAAGATTTCTTCAACTGAGGGTTCACATTCAATTTCGCTACATAGGCAACGTACATACCGAGAGCGCGAATAGTTGCCTGTTCTAGAAACTCAGCTCTTAATCGCTGCATGAGATTTGATTGAATAAGCCGATATATTTCCTCACGCATCGCTCCTTGCCCCGTCGGTGTTTCACACACTTCCAATCGCAATTTCAAATCGTCCTCTTTTCTGTATATTTATACGTCTACCGACAGGTAAATTGTGCTATAAAGGAAGGAAAATTCGAAAAAGAAACATGTGTTGGTGTGTTTTCGTACTCACGGATTCAGTTTATTAATGTCAATGTATGGAGGAGGTGGATTCCAAAGTATTTTTCTGTGTGTTCTTGAAATATATGCTTCATTAACCACAATGATATATTTTCTGTGAGCTGTTTTCACTCTTTTTTTCTCAGCAAGGCAGATTCTACTCGCAACACTCATTTCACAAGTTTTAATTAACTTGCATGATAGATTGAGTCACACGAAAGCACACATGTGCTAGTGCACGAACGGAACCTTCGTGTTTGATTATTATGATCAATGGAGCATCTGTCGTGTTGCATTCAGATCTTAAGCATCGCATTCATTGCGACCGCATATTCTCAAAGTAGATAACAATGTTAATCAACGAAACAATGTTAATTTTGCACGCCTGACAAATGAAGAAATCTCATTCGTAACGCAAATCAATCCTAATTTTCTCCTTTTAGCTCCAGATTTTAAATTCATCGTGATGTATCAGTAAAATATCTGTATCGATAAGATTAATGATGTTGATCAGGTTATGAGCTACAGTTTTCTTTAGTGTTATTTTAAAAAAATAGAAAATCCAGCTCTACGTTTTTTTTAAGAAAGAAAATTCCGAAAAAAACGTTCAAAAAAGCATTTGAATTCAAATGTAACTTTATTTGCTCATATTGTAACAAAACAACAATACATTATATACTTAAAAAGTACGTTTATATATTTTACAAAAAAAAAAATGTGTTTTTCGAAGTGCTCTTTTCAGCAGAACTCTAATTTTGTCTTGCGCTAGCTGGAATTTTGTAAATGTTTTGTCCTCTTCCGAAATGAGGATATACGAAATTTTCTTAGTGAAAAACAAAGTAATGAATAATTATCACCAAATTTTATTTATTATTTATTTATTTATTTATTTTATTTATTTTGTATTTATTATCACTAAATTATAAGGGAAATATTACCTTTTTGAGGAGAAAATTGTGCAGAAGATGGGATTAATTAATCTCCTCAACCTCTTTTGACTTGTCGGCTACAAAATGTAACGCCCTCTCATCAGAGAAAAGTTATCTTCCTCCAAAATTGAAATTCTTAATTCATTAAGAAAAAGAATAACTATCGGTCCCTCTACGAGGCGAGTAGAGCGAAGCCAGTTTCCATGTAAAAATAAGTGTTACGAGGTGACCGTAAGTTATGATGAAATTTGTTCAGTGAGAAACACAGTAAGAATACGAATGATCTAAAAAGTTTATGTACAACGGGTAACACTGTGAAAGTTTATCGAGACGTTCCTCGTGAAATTTTTCATTCTGAGTAATAAAATCTACCGACAATTACTTAATTTTGATGATTAAAGAGAATGTCGATCGCTAACGAATGACAAGTTTTAAGACAGTAGCATAGAATATAAACCAAGACTAGCGTAACAGATTAACATAATAATTACAATATTTTACAACATAATTTTTATTAGAATAATTTCTCTCAATACATTTTTTGAGGTAGAATCTGAAAAAAAAACAGAGTTGGCCAAGACCTGAGCTGGGGTTTCTCGGTCCCTGAATAGTCCCTTTCATTGAAACCACGATGAGGAATTTTATTTCTTTCTATTTTATTCTGATTTTGTCTCGCAAGATTTTGTCAAAAAAAATTGTCAAAAATTTCCAGGGGAACGCCCAAATCCGTAAATTACGTATTTCCTACCAATACTATTGCACAGTAAAGATTTGGAATATATTATAAATTGGTAGGTATTTGGAAAAATTTATGGATGTGGCTGATTGCACAAATCTTTGCTGTTTTACTCGGTAGCACGGAACAAACAGGTACTAGGTAGTGCCGATCAGACTCTTGTTATTCGAAATTTATGGAAATTGGTATAATACAAAGTCAATTCATCAATCAGAAATATTAAGAAACTACGGAATTCGATCTTTAGAAGAATCTTGACGCGTACATCCATGCTACATTTGTAAACAGCAAGAAGTATATTTTACAAGAAAAAAAGAATCAATGTATCAAATTCAACGAAGAATACGCGAATTATGCCATATTAATGACAGGATCGAATTATTTATTTACATAGGATATAGAACATTTAATCCGCTCCAAAACCCAACTATTTTTATATCCTTCGGCCAACAATACGATAACAGCCTCATAATGCTGAGAGAGAATAACCCTTCCTTTTATGCGATAGAAAAAAATGGACCTAGATGGAATTATACACTATTCGGATATTCTTTGATTCACGAATATGCGTTTTGGGTTTTTTTCTATCAAATACTAGTAGACAAATATGGGTTCGCAGGAGTTACTGCGTTGATACATGTACCATAAAAATTAATGGACGCACCGAATTCAATCAGAATACGTAAGTCATTTTGAAAAGCTCTCTGGCTATTCGACATTCAGATTATACGGACCGAAGGCCGAGTTAAAATTGAACCGAGTCCGAGGACAAGTTCATGAAAGCACCTATGCATGTGGGTAAATCAGTGACGAGGCGACGTCTATCTATATGATAGGCGTGCTTTGCGATATATCGATTGATCTGCCATTTGAACCTATGAAAAAAGATCGATAAACAGGGTGTTCGCAACGAACACCTTAATAATCGATTCTTTACCATAGCTTCAAATGGGAAATATCGACGATCGATCATTCACGCCACGCCACTGGTGCCTGATTGACGAGGGTCTAACTCCAATTCTCCGGTCAGAAAATAACAGAAAGAGGTCTCCTGAAGTCGGAAGAGGCGGCCGAAGGGGCCGATTGGTAGTGAGCTGCGGAGTGAGGTCCGTTTGCGTACTGCGAAAAGGGGACGAGGCCCCCCATGCCAAGGCCGGAAGGGGTGCCGGAGGGAGCTGTGGAGGGCGTGGGTGGGGGGTGCGGGTACCAGGGTAAGGTGGCCGGAGAGGCGGAAGAGGAGGTCGAGGAGGAAGAGTGCTCCTCCGCCTTCCCTTCGTCGTCCGGGGTTTGCGATGGGCTCCGGGTCGCTGTCTCCGAGATGGATTTCCCAAGGTCCAGTGACGAGTAGTGCTTACCTGTCAACAGGGAGTCAATTTTTAGTCGTGGAAAAACAAACCAGAGGTAGGATCTTGCGAGATGACAGGTTGCCTAAAAGGGTTCTGGATTGGGCCCCCCCTGGCAAAAATCGTAGATTGAGGGAATAAGGTAGGAAGTGAGGAGATGCGATCTGCCGGATGAGCTCTGGCAAGATCGCTGTCAGTGGCGGTTGGGTGTCTCAAAGCGCACAAAAGCGCTATAAGAGCGACTTATTAGTATAGTTAGAAGTATAACAAACTAGAGTATTCGCCTAATGGAGGAAAACCGTTTTCCCATCTTGGGAAAATCGCCAATGCTTTTAATGCTTGTTGGGAGGTGTTGGTTGGTGGTAAAAGTAAGTGCCCTTTGAATTTCACTTAAAAAAAGAATGAGGCTCATGAATGTTTCAGGAATTTGCGATTTAATGGGTCAGTTGCAATGGTCGCAGAACCGTGTTTTGATGCTTGCTTCTAGTAGATTAGGAATAAGATCTGTGCAAACCGCAACTTTCTACGTTCAATATTAACCGAGTTATCGCCCTTTGAAAATTCGGGTTTTTGACGTTATCCACCGCGGTGACACCCTTGGTTTCTTCCACCTTGCTCTAATCCGAGTTTCACGTTGAGTAACCACTGCAAATGTGCGCCACACTGACTAATGAAAGCAAGATGGAAGAAACCAAGGGTGCCATTGCCGCGCAGTGGATGACGTCAAAAATCCGACTTTTCAAAGGGCGATATCTCGGTTAATATTGAACTTAGAAAGTTGCCGTTTCAACAGATCTCATTATTTTTGGCCAATCTACAAGAATCAAGCATCAAAACACGATTCTTTGATCAATGTAACTGACCTATTGCTGATTTCGGTGTAAAATTGTGTAGGACACACTAGCTTCTCTGAAATCAACTTCCAAACTCAAAAAAATCTCCCGAAGTTCAGGCTGTAATAGAGGGGGTATCCCACGGTGCGTTGAGAGTTCACCACTGTATTTAGTCAAATTTTCCATGCACAGATAGGGAGAAAATACATCATTAGGGTTGCCGTGGTTCCAACTTAGGAGTTCCCAAATAAAGTGGCAACCCTATCAATGCATTTTCTCCCTATCCGTGCAAGGAAAGTTCGACTAGACATAGAGATGGCCTCTCGACGTAGCGTGGGATATCTCCTCCATTACTGCCCGAAATTTGAGAGCTTTTTAAAGCTTGGGAGTTGATTTGAGAGGAAACCAGTGGCACCATTTTCTCACAAAATTTTACATGAGAAAAAGTAGTTAAATCGCAAATCCTCCACAGGTGCAAAAGCTCCATTGATTGTGCAATATTAAATTACGAGCAAGGATTCGTCGATGATCCAGAATCCTCAATTTTTTTTATGTATGTAACTATTTTTGTTTCACTCTACTTACTTGACGCTGCCGCCGCCGCTGCGGACTCCATCATGTACGACCCGACCATCTTGGACGATTCTAGATACGCTTTGGTGAAAGCTGTGTCTAAGTACGACGTGTAGCCGCTAGCTGACGAGTCTAAATATTTCTGATCAGGATACATAGACATGGCTAGGGTCGAGGCCGGTAGATATGGGGGTCTGAATTTTTCGGCTGCCTCCAGCGAATATTTCATTGCCTCCATAGAACCAGGAACCATCTGCAAAAAAAGTGTTATAATTTTAGTTTAGCATTACAAACAGATGTGTAAGACACATAATGACAATTTTTGATTTAACAAGAGATTAATAATCAGAGGGGAATTAGGTGATAGAATTCGTTTGATGACGTCATCCACTGCGGCAGTGGCACCTTTGGTTTCTTCCACAATGCTTTCATCCGAATTTCTCGTTGAGTAACCAGTGAAAGTGTGCGACTACCTGACAAATAAAAGCAAGGTGGAAGAAACCAAGGATGTCACTACCGCAGTGGATGACGTTATAAACCGAATTTTTTATAGTGCGATATATTCATTGATTATGTACGTAGAAAGTTGCTGTTTGGGCGGATCTTATTATTTCTAGCTGATCTACAAGCGCCAGGCATCAAAACAAAATCCTTTGAACAGTGCAACCGATCAATTCAATTTTTTACAAACATATACCTATGTAATTTTTTTCCACAATTTTTCTGATTTTCGTATGATATCAGAAGAAAAATCCGTGTAATTTTCAATCGGAAATGCCCATGATATTCCCGATGAAAATGCAATCTACGAGGGGAAATTTGGCAACATTGAAATATAGTTACGTTCTTTCGTATGGGAAACAACTAGTTGCGAGGAGGAACGCTGCGTGACCGACCAGATGTGTGCTCAACTCTCCGAAGTCGTCGTTCTCGCAAAATATGACGTAATGGCGTATCTCAATTTGAGCGTGAGCCCTGTTCCCCGTATGACTTTCTACTACCCAGGGCTCACGTGGAAATAGAGATACGTCCTTACGTCAGAAGAGCGACGATATATCTCCACTCTGCGAATGTACCCCGCGGCGCACAGTGGATCGAGTCAATGAGAGAGGTCAGACATGAAATTTTTGACTAAAGCTGCAAATTTTGATGTTTATCTCGCCACATTTTAAATTTCAAGGGGTGCTTTTGGAAGAAAATTGTACGAGGAAACCAATGAAACCACTTATAAAACCTCAACATTTTGTATGAACGGAGTTATTAGGTTTTTAAGTTTCGAAATTTTGTCCGACCTCTCCTAATGACTGGCCACTGTACGGCCTCGCGACTGCCGAACGCCAATCCCACCCCGTAAAGAAGCACGGCAGCGAACGCAGGCCATAACTGTCGAGACGCTTGAACATCTTTGGCGAATCTTTCAGCAATAACAAGAAATTCAACAGAAAAATCCAGACCTCCCCAAACGAAATGGCAACTTCTGTCGGAGCGTACGTGAGCACGGCCTAGAGGATTCATCGAATCGACAAAGACGCGATCCCGTGAATTCCGCCATTAACGGATATATTTTACTTCTCTTGGCACTGATCCCTTGAATGTTTACATTCGTCCGTTTGGAGGTTTTGTCTGACGCACATGTTTACAGTTCCTTATAAATTTATCCCGCAAGTTTCAGATTGCAAACATTGTAGTAGATGAGAGGAATCTACACTGAAAAAAAAAATTGGTAGAATTTACCATTCCTTGACGCTGTATTTTACACAGCGTCAATTCAAAGTCGATTCTGCCAGAGTAATGGTTACCTGTACCAGTACATAGTAACGTTTACCTTTTTTCTGGCAGAATTGACTCTGGATTGACGCTGTGTGAAATACAGCGTGAAGGAATGGTAAATTCTACCCATCTCTTTTTCAGTGTAGGGTGGATAGAACAAGAAAAACAAGCATATTTGATGGAAAGGAAAGGAACTGATGAGGCCAGCGGGTTGATTGTTGAAATTAATAGACAAGGCGATTTACAAAGAAGAAATGGGGAGTGTGGAGCAATCCTATTGGTTGAAATTCGTGGTTCCTGTAGACCAAGCGGGTAAATGAACTAACTAAGGGGCTCTAGTGGGTTGCCATTAGTTAATATAATATCTTTCCTTCGTCCATTGCAACGACCCGCTTCCACCATAAGGGTTCCCAAATATTCATTTTGTCCTCTTTGTCAACAGCTTTTCAGAATCTATAGCTGCAGAATCCTGCTCTGCCGTATTAAGGAAAAATGTCGTATGAACATTCAAGAGTTGCTAAAATTCACCGGATGAAACATGTATTTTTGAGGAAAGTTGCGCACTTCTTTCCTTGAAACTTTCAGATATCTTACATTAAATTCCAACCAAAATTCCGAACAATTTGAAGGAAAATATTCCAAATTTTCTCAGTAAATTCGTTATTTATAAAAGGAAATATGACGACATCTGAAAGCTCATACGGATTTTTTTCCTCGACACAGCAGTACTGTTAATTGCCGAGTGGTTATTCTAAGTGTGAAAATATTGAGAATAGCGCAAATTCTACTAATACGGCTGAATTGTTTGTGATGCACTCTAATGCACAATGCAAATTAGTCCCCGCAGAGGAAGACGGAGCAGGATAGGTCGATTTTTCCATAAATCAACGCTAAACGGGCAGACGTAAAATCGGTGCACAGTAAAGCAGAATGTATTTAAACCTGGCGCAAGGGTTTAAGTGACTCATAAAATTTTTAATGCCTTAGTACTAACTATATTACGGTTACGGCGTCTGGATTAAGTTATCGCTGAGCAAAGACTAGGAGTTTCGGCTTATCCGAACATACGGGCAAATCTTCTGTCCTAAACATACGATAAATGCCAATAACTAATGGACCCTCATTAGTGGTTGCTTGTATCATTTCTTGTTTTGGTTTGACTTCTGGTTAAAATATGTTTGTGTATCCGTTGAATTTTATCCGTGGGTTAAGATTTTTTCTTCGAAAATGTCTCACTAGAGTCGTAAATGTCATTTGAAATTCGGACTGTGAAATCTTGTATTTAAGTCTTCAAACTCGGAGCCAAAGCTAGCGACTAATTTTTTTTTTTTGTTTTTTTTTTTGCCAACAGGGTTTAAACAACATTTTGACCTTTTTTCCGTTTCTAGGATCAGCAGTGGATCAGCAGTGGAACAGCAGTAGGATCAGCTAAGATCAGTGTGTCCATATTATGTTTCAATGAAAGGAGGAATGAGGGGGTCGATTTGAGACGAAAAGCTCGGTGTCCTATAGTTCAAAAGTCTCTTTTCGCTCCTCTTATTGGACGCTTTGTGCTATAAGGAACTATGTTGCACGCAATCTCAATGTACTTGGGTCCTTTTGGCACAAATACGCCCTATTGTCACAATCATTGTTCATTGAGGTACTATGAAGTGAGAGGTATCGATGATAAAGTAGTTATAGGTATCATTTCTGTGACAAAATTGAGATATTAATCATTTATGGTTTTACTCGTCCCGAGGATATTCGTTAAAAAAAAATGGAGATTGAGCTCTCTTCGTAAATTCAAATTTGAAGTCCATATGTGCCAATAATATCCATATAATATTTGAATTCGACGTCACAAAAATGTCATTAACTCCTTTATCATTGAAATCCTTCAACAGTCTTTCTTTAACTCATCTCTTTCTGTCACGTGTTTTCATCATTCAAAGATTACCGCAAATTAACATTTTTAATACAATTTTGATCACGTAATTGTATTGCTTCATACTTTCTCGTTCTCTCTGAAATAAAGGATAGTCGTCATCAAAATGAAAAATTAGCAAATAATTATTTCCTCAGCAAATTGTTTAGTGGTCAATCAAATAGATAAGAGGGAATGAGATGGAGAGCTGTAATATTTATTGCTAGTTGCTGACCTGTGTTGATGGTGTTGGAAGCCCTGATATTGACTGCTGAGTCATTGCCGCTGCCATTCCTAGAGATCCGTAAGGATTATAGTAGGATCCTACTTGACTGATGCCTGAAACAAACAGAGTAAGTTTAAGACATTAATTTTACACAGCAATGAAGGAATAGTTACCACACGCCTAGTGATCAGAAAATCAATATATATATTTTATTGGTGCAAAATTTTAAAAAAATCATATGCCGGCATCCAAAAAGAAAGAAAAAAACTAAATGAAATAAAGTAAGAAAAATAAATAAATAAACGTATTTGCTGCTCCCGGAACACCTACATACCTTAACCTGAGAATGAAACTTTCGAAGTGATGTAGGTGGGGGAGAGAGACGAAATTGACACAGAATATTGATGACCGGGGGAGTGGTAAAAACCTTCGAACGGCCACGGCGTCGGGAAGAGGAATCAAGAAAGTTGGTTCCGATTATTAAAACATTTCGAATTTGAGTCGGTCGGGCCCCGCTGCAGCTGCTTTTGATAGCGGTGGCCGGAGACAGCTCGAGGTGCGATCATGACAAACTGTAATAAGCCGAAATCAACTCCATTGTGTGAACGGGTCGTAAAACCGCATTTTTCAGTAGCAGTCACAGGAAATCCACGGTAAAAAATCAGGTGTCCACGTAATGGGCAATCATAAATATTGGGGAGTGCGGTATGTTGGGCCGTGTTTTCCTATTACCCACAAATGACCACCTTTTCATGGATGCCGACTTACTTTAACTTTGACATAGTTGCCGAGCTCTCAAAAATCTTCGTCCACACCCTACTAGCACACCGAAAAACGAATTTATTTCAAAAACATTTGGATCTGTTATTAAGTTTCAGCCATTATCAAGCGCACGTTATATTATCAAAGAAACATATCGAAACACTGTAAAAGACGGAAATCCCTCTGATCGGAAAATTTTGTAGGTGTATTAGGTGTCCGGATTAGTAGAGACATGAATGAATAAATAGTAAATTAAATCCCTGGTGAGAAACAACGTAAGTTCCAGTATCTCTTATTGAGTGCATCAACGTTAGGCCAACAGTGCCATTTAAAAGTTCTCACATGATATCTGCCAGGAAGATCTGTCTAAACAGTTTTTAATTTCGAATCATTTTTTTTTTTAATTGATGCTGGTAGTTATGGTAATTACAGTTACAGGGCCGAAGGTTCATGTCAATGGGCCATGCACTAAACGAAATTTGAACCCCAAATAAAGGCTAATAACGAGTTCGACGTAACATAACGTACTGTTTCAGTCGAAGTTTACCCTTCAAAATATTATAGAGGAATCTATTCACAAGATGAGAGGTTCAGATATTAACTCCTGAACGAAATAAAAGCTGAATAAGTATTTTTAACAGAGATCATATGAAAGTTACACCATACAAATGACGTTATTTTCTTTTTTGCCATTGAATAGATGTTAACTACACTGTATTATTTGGAACTACAATTTCTGGCTCAGTCCAGAAACAACGTATGCGTCATTAGTTCCCCAACTCAAATAAGTGATTTTACAGATGAGTCAGAAATAGTACCTGATGGAAAAATGTGGTCCGACTGTAAATGGTTATATCTTAAAAGAGTAAGGTATATTATCACACCATAACACGCTATTTTTTGAAATGGATCAGTTTACTTCTCAAAAAATAGGGTGCCGTGGGGGGCAAATTAACCACATTCTTCTATGTTTTAATCATACGCAAAATACGACTCAATATTTGTCTATATCTTGTTTGAAAGGTAATTTCCAAAAATCCCGTTGTGTGATTTCTTTTTCTCGCAAAGTTTTGAAGAACAAGCCTGCTGCGTGGTATTTTCATTTCGTACCCTGTCATCAGCGCCATTGCGCATCTGAATTTCGTAGAAGTCACAAATAATTTGGAGATGGACAGAACTTGTCAAGATTGAAGAGGGCAGAATTCAGGATAGTTCCAAGAATGCTCAAAAATTGGCCCAAACTGTCTACGAGAATGTTGAATTTCCGTGTTTTGAGAACACCGCAGCGCCGTCTATCACATCCTAAAGACACGATGGTTTTTTCCGGGTCCATTAAAGCCAAGCTAAGGAAAACGACGTATGAGCCTACAGACATGGCCAAAACTTCCTTGATTAAATATATATTTTTGAAGTACGACTGTACATTTTAACCTTTATTTTATCGATTGAAAATATCCAAGAATTTGGAAGAAACGTATCGGTTTTAATTTTGAATGTGTAAACCTTTCTTTCCCCAGATGTGTTTTCAGTGTATTTATTTTGGGCTACGTTAGATTCACTTTTACTTACTGTTTGAAGAAATATAATATATGCATATTTCCCTTGTAATCGTACTCTACAATATAAAATCGCAAGAGTATCAAGCGTAACGTTATGACGTCTGAGGTATACGAACCGCTTCGGGATGTTGCAACGCGGAGCAGCATATTTCCCCTTGAAATTTGCAGATATTTCAAATAAAATTGAAAATAAATGTTTGAAAAATTGAAGAAAAAAATACTACGTAATGTCGTTTTTCGTTGAAGGAAATTTGGCCACGCCTGAAGGCTCTTACGGTGTTCTTCCTCAACACGGGAGTATAGGTAAACGACCGCAAGCTAGCCGCCTCCACGTAGTGGCAACTCTTGACGGATGGCATCGGCATCGATTACGCCGATAAATTTCAGGAGGGCGACTGCATTGTGCCCGGCCCGGCCCGAGCACGGGCATCACGGACTCGGATCCGCGAAACGCGAAGCAGGGCTGTTAACAAGGGATCCCTGCGGCGCGGCGTCGCGTGTGTCGCGGGCATCCACGGCCAGGGCAAAAAGCGACAGTATTTGCATACAAAGTGCTCGCTAACTATAAATAACGTGATTAAAACCGATCGGGGAGCAAACTGCGAACAAGGCTTTTCCAGGTCTCAACTCTTCATGCTCCCCCTCCCCCCGATCCACCCACGGACCCTTTTCAAGGTTCGAACCCCTACCCATACAGTGCCTAAGCCCCGTATTTGAAAACGCGAAATAAACTCTTCCGTTCCGATTGATTGCAGGTGGAGGAAAAAACCAACATGTGTGTGAGAGACACACGATCTGCACCGAGAAAAAAGAAGGCCGTTATATAAACTCGGAGTACGTTCTGAGATCGCTCTCAAGTTTTTACGTTACCTGCAACTTGAGATGTTAATGAAATTTTGAAAGGTGTCATAAATTTTATGAAAAATGGACCGTATTCGATATTGGTTCAATGCATCGATTGGTTCCAAACAAGAACATGACCTCAAACCGAAATTTTAGGATTCAGTTAAAAAAGCTAAGATGGAGGAAATTTCTAACGATTTCATGTTTAACTTTGCCACTTAGTACTCATAAGTATCAAAAATAAATTACAAAAATCCGTTACCCCAAATCACTCGATGGGCTTTTGAGGCTATATTTTTTTACGTAATGAGCCTATCGATATCGATACAATTTTTTTCCAGTGTTTGCTCCAAAATTTGACACACAAAACACAAGTTTCGTAAACCTATCTCTAACGGACAAGGCCTTCCATTCATAAGAAATGAAAGAAAAAATTATGAAAGAACAAACACAAAATTTGGTTTCATGATTTTAACTTCCGCCACCGCGCCGCGCCGCTCCGACCGCACCGTGTTTGGCGCAATGCGTGAAGTATTCACGCAGTCTTGTAGGCGCTATGCGTTTCACGCTGACCGCACCGTGTTCGGCGCAATGCGTGAAGTATTCATGCATTCTTGTAGGCGTTATCCGTTTTACGCTGACCACAATAACCGCACTGTGTTTGATGGAGTGCGTGAAGTATTTGTGCAGTCTTGTAGGCGCTAATATGTGTTACATGCCGATTGCGCGCGTCGAGGGCTTCTCCTTTTCATCTCAAGTTCTCGTCATCATTTCTCCCTAAGTCGCACCATTCCAGGCCAAATTGTGTGTTTGGTTTCTCTCTTAACTCGACTAATTAAAGGTGCTGTCTCTTGTATCACTGGAAGCCGACAAAATTAGAAATTACTATACTCTCAGGAAATGAGAAATTTTGTAGCATTTTCTCGTTTGTAATTTTTTTTTTCTGAATCCGATTTTTTTTTATACCTACATTTAAAAAAATTGCAAAATTTGCCGCCTCCTTGATTTGCCGCCATGGGCCGCGGCCCATGTGGCCACCCCCTTAATCCGGTCCTGATGCGCTCTCTCACTGCCTTAAAGGTATTTTATACTTATTTTAAAACCTCAACTCCAAATTTTTAAATGAAAAAATAAAAAGGCTGAATTTAATGTACCTCGTATTTTCAATCAGGATAATTGGTATTTACATAGTTTCTACGTATAAAAACAAAAATCAACGATCCCTATGATCAACGGAATAATTAAATAACTCGCGAGGTAGCGCAGTGAGGTGGTTGCCTGGCTTTTTAGGGGAAATAAATATTTGGATGAAATAGTCTGTTTTATTTTTACAAGTTCAGTGGCGAAACGTGAATGATCGATTTTCAATATTTCCTCATATGAAGCTACCGTAAATAATCGATTATCAAGGCGTTCGTTGCGAACACCCTGTTCATCGATCCTTTTCCAGAAGTTTAAATGGCAGACTAATCGATGTATCGCAAAGCACGCCACCCCACTGCTACAGTTACTTCAAGCCCCTGCAGGCCGATTCTTGAAATTGATAGACAAAGCTATAGACAAAGAGGACAAAAGAGGTATGGAGGGATCCTATTGGTAGAGGCGGGTGGTTGCCATGGATAAACGAGTTAGCTAATAGACTAACTAAAAGCAACCCACGAGAGACCCGATAGTTAGTCTACCATTTTCTCCCTTTGTCTATGAACCACCCATTTCCGCCAATAGGATAGCTCCATACTCACTATGACTTCTTTGTCTATAGCTTTGTCTATCAATTTAAATAATCAGCCCGCTGCGTGGCATCTATGTTTGAAGAGTGATCCGCACGGATATTGACACAGAAGTGATGGTTTGATAAATGGACGGCTCTCGGACTCGGAGCTGACATGAAATTAGAATCGGTCGATTGTTTGATTTTTGATGGATATCGGTGGAGTCGCCGCGCGGCG